AACCCATTGTAAAATGAATAGTCTAGTTAGTATTTCAAGTTAGCTTGCTTTTACAAAAATGCAGAACGCACGGTTATGGTAATTGTAGTGGATGAAATGAACTTAAATTCTCTATGCCTCTAAGTTAATAAAATATGACCATACATTGCATGCAGTAACAAAAGAGAAGAAAAAAAACTCCCGCCATTTGCGGTTTGAATTCTCCGGAGAACTTTTGCAACACAAACGTTCCACTTTGAGATATAACTTAAAGCAATATAAAATACTGTCTTACAGGTTTAAATCATTGTTCAAGTGAGGCAGATATTAAATCTAGGCTAGCTAACAAAAGCTCAAATCAAACTAACACACCATGCGACACAAAGAGCATTAGATGCAGAAATTAATAACAAATCATTTAAATACTGTGCAAAGGCAAGACGTAACTTACCGCGGTAGCGCGGTCAAATTCCGGCAGTGAGACTCGAGGGCACGGTGGGCAAAGTATACTTCTGGAAGTTTGAGTGATTTCATTCGAGAGGAGCTATAATGGCGGACTCATGAACGAACGCGGGTGAGAGCAGTGAGGCACGTCGGGGGCGGAGCACATACGTGATGACGTCAGACAGATTCAGTAAAAACATTTGAGTACAATCCCCAATATGACCCAAAGTGGATGAATACTGTATACACAATATTACAAATCAGTTCATAGTCATCAGAACATTTGCGGTGAAATAACTTTTATAAATGTTTGGGTTAAAACAACCCATATTCTTCAAGAAGCTTGTACTGTTCGGTCTTACAGTGTATCATAACCTTAATAATAATCTTTTCCTAATTTTCTTAGCTTCTGCTTACCGCGAGTTCTCCTCGCTCTCCCCACTCGCGCTGATCTCTCTCCCTCTCATCATCTTCCTCACCACCAATATCGTTAGAAGAAGATGGACCTGCACCTGTACTAAACCATGGATGTATAATAAGAACTGGATACAGCGTGGGAGGCGGGGCCTCATTCATTCCTATGAGAGCTGCTCATTAGCGCATGATGATAAAATGGCCCAACTTTTGAGAGAGTGAAACGTCACAGATTACCCAGCATGCCTGAGAAGTACCCGTATGTGCACTCGTAGAGCATGCGCAACTTTAACCAAAATGCTCGTTCACATCAAGCACGTCAATTTGCGTACACATAACAGCACCGCGCGTTCATGACAGCATGGTAATGGATTGTTGTTATCATGGATTTGATATGAACGAGGCGGCAGTTAGCAGCTAGCGGCTAGCTAGTAATGATGCTAATGTCCACATCAATCGTTATGTACTTATATTACGCTGTAACAGGATCTAGTGATATCCAACAGAGCTTCATTTAGCATAAAATAATTATTGCACTGTATATATATATATATATGTATATATATATATATATATATATATATATATATATAAATATTATTTATATATATATATATATTTATATACAGTGCAATAAGCTTCTTAGTGCAATACGAAGCTACAGGGACGTTAATAATGTCGGTAATATTAACTTTATGTAATACAACATTTACGGTACAAGATTTAATCATACAGCCCATGTAGTATGATAATGAATTACAGCAAACATGTGCAATATATCCATTATTACAGCTCCGTGGGATGGCAGTAAGACGATATGGATCCGTTCTTATTGTGCATCCATGGGTAAAGATAAACGCAACTCACATTGGTTTCTCATACAGCATCTCTGTAAACTACGTGTATTCACTGAATTTCACTCTCTGCCTTTAACGGGTCGTTGTAGCTCCAATAGCTCCAGCCCCACCCTCCCTGTGAGCACAGTGTGCTCTGATTGGTCGGGACCATAGACTATATATAAATATACCAATTCTAACAATCTACCCATTCCTACAGTAGGGGGCAGGGCTGGACTGGGACAGCAAATCGGCCCTGGCATTTAGACCCAGACCGGCCCAAATCCATAAAACAAACGAATAGTAGCGGTTCCTGACAAGAAGAATAACTCAGTATAATTTAAAACAACGCTATTATTATCCTTTTTACGTACCAGGGGCAAACTAAACTAATACATACAACAAGTATGTGTAACTATCAATCATTAGAAATTAGACCTTCAAACCCTCTCACAAAGCGAACAGTGACCGAGCAGGGGGGTCTGATGGTGGTGGAGGCGGGGAGGGAGCGGATCAACAGCTTGAGCAGCTGTCAACTCAACATTCTAAATAACCAACCAAAAACGATCGCTGGTTCATCTTGTTTTTGGCGTGAGAATAGTTTGGGAAGCGTGAGAGCGTGAGATTGAGAGTGAAAGCGTGTGTCACACGCTAGATGCGTGAGAGTTGGCAACCCTGGTTTACCTGCTGCAGGTGGGGCCGACCAGTTATACAAGAGGGAGATAATAGCTGTACTTATTTTTTAATGAGCCACATGCCATGATGCACCAACTTCAGACTTCCTTACAGAGCCACTCCTCCAACACACACAAACGCGCACATGACCAATGAGGGCACGAGATAAGTTTGTGCACAGATGCAGATCTCTCTCCCTCTCATCATCTTCCTCACCACCAATATCGTTAGAAGAAGATGGACCTGCACTTGTACTAAACATGTCGGTTATTTTGACACAAGCGGCAGCATCAGCACGAAGGGCCTGCTTTTTTCTTGCCCGCAATTGTTCTGCTCCCCCTTTTCGCTTGGCCTTCGCCATTTCTAACTCGAACTTATTTTTTTCTCGAAAAAAAAGGCAGTTTGGCTTCAACGGCCGGCTCACCTCCTGGGGGCGTGATTTAATGATGCACACCGAGCGGCCAAAGGGGGAGGTAATTCAAGATTTGATTGGGCCGGCCCAGTGTCAATTACTAAAAACATTTAAACAGAGGGCCAATCTACCCGTTTTATGGGCCGGGACTTAAAAAAAAAAAAAGACGTGTCGGCCCACCGGGAAAATGCCCGGTATGCCAGATGGCCAGTCCAGCCCTGGTACAACAGGAACTGACAGGGGACTTTTTGTGGGCTTGAGAATCAACCAGTTGACACATAAAAGCACTACTGTGTATATTTGATGACAAAACGCTTCACACAAAAACTGGTCCAGACTAAAGTATTGAAGCCAAACTAGGAGCTCTGTGAGCATACTTATGCACAGTTTTAATTTAAGGTACATTTTCACTGACTTAGTAAAGGTTAATCTTCACTAATTCATTGATTGTTGGGACTTTGAATCAACCCTGAATTATAGTTTTACAATCTTTACTTCTGTACCAAAAGTCATAAGGCACGTTCACACCGCAGTACTTTTCCCACAAAGGTTCATGAGAACGTAGTTAATGAGAACTCTTTAGTTCTCATGAACTAAGTACAGATCGCGTTCACACCGGAATAAATCCCTGGGGAAGGATTAGGCAAATGATTATGAAGCCGCTGACGTCACTCCTTCTTCTTCTGCTTTGGGTTTACTGGCAGGCCGCAAAAAACTTCACGGCGTATACCGCCACCCGAAAATATTATACTATGGGCTGTATGATGTAAATCTTGTATTAAATAAAGTTAATATTACCGACGTTACGTAGATTAACGTCCCTGTAGCTTCTTATTGCACTTGCAATATACCATTAAAGGAGTTGAACGTTGCTGTTTGCTATTACTATAATACCACGCAGGGATAAGCCAGAGTTTACAACCTTTGCATGTGGGCACAACACATTTGGACCCAGATGAATTAGCTATACCATATGATATCGTCATAGGAAGTATTAATTATACTTGTATATGTATATATATATATGTATATAGCCTGTGTTGTATATTTATACACACAAATGAACAACCTTGTGTGTGTCAAATAACAAGTTATTGTAGTGTTGATTTTGGTGTTGTTTTATGCGTATCCACATTTTGATTTCAGAACACAGGAGAATGCTGGGCACAACATAAAGCTCAACAGTGAAGCTGGCAATGCTGAACAAAACCATCACTAGATCCTGTTAAATCAGCATTATATAAAAGTAGCCTACATAACGATTGATGTGTACATTAGCATAATTACTAATTGAGTGGCGAAGTCCCTCCCCTTCCGGTGGACCTCCATGGGACCTTATTTCGGAGAAATTATGTATTGAAGAAAACTGTAGTTTCCATAGTTGAAAAACTATGATTTTTGGATTATCCGACCGCAACCCTGCTCTCTAGCAGTGGGTAAAAAAGGTTCCAATTAACTAATTTTAGTTCCGGCTCTTTTTGGTATGAACGCGACATTTCGGAACTATATCGGAATTAAAGCGGGGAAAGTACTGAGGTGTGAACGCGGCAATTGAAATCAATACAACAATGTACAGACAAATGTAAAGGAAGATGCATGGCATTGTTCTAAGGAACCGCCCTTTGACTTTCAGTGTACATGCTAACGTCATGCAGGGAGAGCATGAACAGATGATTACAGCCAATTAGCTTCCAAAGCACTGAAGCTAATGTTGTGCAAACATAAATGACAGCATGTCTGCAGAGGAAAAGGCTGTTAACACAGCATTTGGATATATGTGTTTATCATGTTAGATAACAAAAACGTTGCATTACACCCCTTAAACCCAAAAGGGCTTTGTTTGTAGTAAATCCTTAACCTTGACGATCATTGTTAACTATCTCATCTGTCTCTTATCTTCTGTAGGAGAGCAATTTCTAAGGCTAGAGATGTTTTAGTGCCCTCTTCCTCCTCTGAGCAGAGATTTAGACATTGAAAGTCCAGGTCTAAAAGGATTATTAACTAATCCACAAAATCTGTTAATACTCACTATGTCCTGATGATTAGTTTTCCATTCTACTGAGGGCTGACGATGATTGTTTGAGTGATGGCATACTCTAGTTTTTTTTCTAGTGTATTCATGATTATTTTTTTGTGTTATGTCTGTAGGTGTTCTGTTTCGCCTGTCTGCAAGACTAACTTCGCCTTGGGGACAAATATCCATTATATTCAAAACCCAATACAAAAATAAACACAAACACAACATTTGAAAAGAATGTTTATAAAGGCAACACACATTTTATCTTAAGTGTTTGCATGAAGAAAATATAAACACAAAAAGATTAAAAAAACATTGATTACATTTGCCAACTTCTCTGCTGTCACATTCCAACCATAACAAACTTCAAATAGCCTGCTTTACAAATGTTAATGTTTTAAAGGTGGTCTTGATTTGCGAAGATTATCTTGCCAAAATCCAATGAAAAAAATCCCTCTTTGCTTTATATCGAGGGAACCAGTGTGATCATCAATCATCAATGTGGTCATCGTCAGTGTTGGCCAATAAAAAAAGGTCAGGACTCTATGCACATAGGGATTCCCACCATAAGTCTGGTTAATTATTCGCTCTAGCGAGGAGGAAAGCCCCTATGTGGCCCTCCCCGACCCCTGAACCCTCCCCTGTCTCCTCGGAAATTTGGCCGGTTTCTTTCACGGCCCCTGTCTCCGCCTCTTCCTGAATTTGGCCCACCACGTCCCCCTCTAGCTGCTCCGCCCCCACGGTCCGACTTCATCTTAGAAGGGGGAGATTTAGGTCGCAGCCTCTCTATTTCCTCAGTGCAGCCAGATAGGTTGTCATTGACGAAATGTGAGGCGTAGGTCTCTGGGTTAAAGTTACTGTTTGTCAAAGTAGGACCTACAGTCAGCCAGCCTAAAAAGAGAAAAAAGCACAAATGCAATAAGAAACTTAAAGCAAACATACAAGCAGATATTACCAAAGAAAGAAAAGTGGTTCAATCTCACCTGGCCTGATGGTTGAGTCTCGTCCAAACAGGTGCAACCTTCTGCGGCCCAAACAGAAATGCTCAATGATATGGAAGATCTCCACAGGCTTCTCAACATTTCCCATCTCAGGCTCCTCAGTGATGATCAAGTCAATGTCCACATTCGCATGGATGAAGTCACCGTCAGTGCTCCTGCGCACTGTTCCTTTGATTCCCATCAGGCAGTGTTCCTGGAGGGAGGATATTGATTTCAGAATCAGAAATCCATGATTTGTCCCATAGACGGAAAATGGTTCGTGTTACAGAAGCAAGGGACAGTGCATATGAAAAGGTACAAAAAAAATAGTAGTCTAACATATTAAGTATGAGAGAGAGAGAGAGAGAGATAGATATAATAAAATAGCATTAAAAGGTTAAAAAAATATATACATGTGGAAAATATACATGAGGAAATACAAATTTCCAGTAACAAATATATCATAAAATATAATTAAAACAGGTTTAACTTGGAATTCATCATGGACTTCTTATGATCCAAAAGCAATTAGATGATGTTATATGTACATTAACATATATTTCACATTGCTGTACCTTGGTCCTCTGGAATACTGCCTTCGGGTCCAGCGCCTTGGTTTTGCCTGGGTTGTTCTTATTGGTCTTGATCCAACAGATGTCCTCACACCGCCTAAAGCCCCACTTCCTCAAACACTGAAATGGTTGGAATAAAGGAAGTTATTATGTTAAACTATAGCCGTTTCTCAATGTCGAGTAAACCTGCTGCAGAGCCACTATTTCAAGTATACTATGTCATCGAGTGGCGCCGAAGGACTGTTTAAATGCATGTTAAATGCCCAGCATTCGGCGCTACTCAATGACGTAGTATAGTTGAAATAGTGGCTCTGCAGCAGGTTTACTCGACATTAAGAAACGGCCTATGTGTAACAACAATGCTGAGGGTCATGCAATACCTTTGAAAATTACTGTATCTTAGGCTATTGACATAATCAATGCGTTATTGACACAATGCATCCCTGGCACACTAATAAAACATGTTTCAAACAACAAACTGGTTTCCAAACTGATGAAAAGTGCATTAACTAGGCTCCATTTCAACATGCCTCGGAGACCTCCCCTCTGCATTAGCCCTGGGTGGTATCCCTGCAGACAAAGTGTTGTTTTCAGTTGTTTGAAAACTGAACTGAACTTGGTGAAATTGATACTTTGAAGGGTTGAAGGGTTAAGCGAACAAAAATGGTAACTGGTAGCAGTAATGCATGCAAGATTTGGGTGCTTACCATTGTAGAACAATTTAAATCAAATCAAATAAATGCACTATCTGACATGCTTATTAGTTGTTGTAATACTAAAGGTGAGTAGAATTACATGTGTAGGTTATAGGTTCACTCTCCTAGATAATTATTAAGAGAATGTCATTGATAAGTCGATATTCTATTGAAAAAATGCCAGATAAAATATAACTGCAGTTCATATTTTATTATTCTCCTGTTGACGTTGTGTGATTCATTTATTTCCTTCATTATCTGTGAATGCAAGGACAAATGGTTGTTTTGCAAGACATCAAAAAACCTGTATAAGTATAGCTACTGCTGATAATCATCAAACTGAGGCAGCATGTTACGTTGGGTATTGCAATTATTCAAAGACGACACCCTTGCCGCATTGAAATGAGCCTACAGGTATCTCATGATCTGTAAAAAGCTGAGCCAACACCTCAACACTTCTTTTCACCTACACATTCCCAAGATGGATCCATATCATGTATGTGATGTAATAACAATGAGGGTGAATGTTGGGAAGTGGAATTACTAATGAAAAGCAGCCTTTCTCTATGATACTTAAGCAATAATGGAGATTCTGAATAATCTGCACAAAACGGTTTTTTCTTTATTCCTGGCCTGGCTTGTTGAAATGTTCAATATTTGGTTTAATGACCCTTTGCATTTGTGTTTGGGGAAAACTCATATTTATACAAATATAACAATAGTCTTTATATGAATCACAGTTGTGGAAAAACAGGTGCTGGATTCCTACTCAGGTAAAAACTACAAGAAAATCTATTTCAGACAAAGTAAGCCATGCAGTGATGCTGTGCTGTTGGCAAGCACAATAGGGACATGTGTAACACCAACAATGACCATACAGCAAAGTAAATATGACCGTCATGTTACCATTCTGCCCATGTCCAGGCCTTCACCAGAGCCACACCAGAGAAAGACAAAGGAACGAAGATCTGATATCTCCTCAATTTCCAGTTTCATGATCTACAACAGCAGAGAAGAGGAAAGAGAGGTGAGGGAACACAATGCCATAATCATCCATCCAGTGGATACATACATCACAAAACACTTTAACACTTCCTTTCCCTGAGGAAGTCCTGTCATGAGAACATTTAGCCCTGAAATCTGCTCATTGGCAGGGTCCTTGTGGATCCATGTTGCCCCCTACTGGGAGAGGATATGCATTCTCTTATTGTCTGTAATCCCACACAAAATCCTGCACAGGTCTAGTTTTGCACACGGACCCATTACCCCATTTATCTCTGTGTTCTATCTGGACCAGACCCTTTAATAGAGACCCAGAACCAGTGATTAGACACACAGGCTATACAGTCACTCCCTTTATAGTGCTTCATTTTTACTCTGGTCTAAGCTGGGATCTCTGCTCTTAAATCACAAATCCAGCTATGGAAATTTGAATAGAGATATTACAGAAGGGTGCATTTGTACACAGCAACAAGGAAGGTGGGCTATGCCAGGCAATGTTTTTGTAAGGTATTTCTAACCGTTCTAATGCAACGCTATGGGTGTGTAGGGATGGGTACCGAGCCCCAGTATTAAACGGGCCCTGGGGCTGAATTATTAAAGACCGTGGTAACGTTAAGCTCCGACGTTATTGGTCTTTTTATCGGTACTGGAGACATCTAAAAAGTATATGTCATATGTATTATTGCTACACAAACATTATATTGCAGTTTTAGTGTCGCCAACTCCGTTTATAATACGCAAAAAGCGTCCATGACTATTTTCGATCTCTCTCCCCCGCCTGCTTGCAAGGGGGCGGGGCAGTTTACACACACGTGGCTGCCGCTGCCGCTGCCACACACACACACACACACACACACACACACACACACACACACACACACACACACACACACACACACACACACACACACACACACACACTGTGGTTCAACTTTACCTGTCTCGATGTGGACAATGCTCGTTACCAAAAGTGCAATAAGAGTTTAGCATGTGAGGGCGGTAACACGAGCAATTTGCCTAAACATTTAGCAAAAGTGCACCACGTTCAGACGGAGGAATGCACCGGGTTCGACTGTCTTTCTAGTAGCTCTGTAGCCCCATCCACGAGTAACGTTTCCACGTCAGGTGTTATGTATGCTAGCAGCAACACACCGAGTTAACTAAATGATACAAACATGGGTTAATGATTAGAGGTAACAGAGTTATTTAGTTTGTTAAAGTTTCAGCTATTCTGTTTACAGTTCTGTCATCAGATTATTTAATACGATTTGTTAAAACATTGTTGTTTCTTTTGATGTGAAATATTATGTATTTCATTTCAATAAAAAGCAATGTTAGTTTTGTTCACAATTTGTTTAGTTAGTTTACCTTCTTTTTTTCTCCAAAAGAACCGATAAGAGTACCGTTAAAAGACCGGACCGATAAGTGGTATCGATAAAAGTAGTAGTACCGTTAAAACCTTAACGATACCCATCCCTATGGGTGTGGCTTAATTTTGAAATGGTTGGAAATAATGCTGGCTAAGGTGAGATATCCTCCACAGAAAGTACATCTGATATCTTTGTTCTCTTTATATATTATGACTGCTGAAGTGCCCTTTGTCTTGCGGCTGTGGTGTGATGCAGATTCTCAGCTTGGTGGTACCATCACTTTAGAAGGGAAAAACTGTTCACATTTACGTTTTTTTAAGCTCCACTGCCCAGATAAGTTTGCCAATGTCTTCAACATTCCCCATACTTTTTTTTTGTTTGAGTTCTCCTTTTTAATAGATGCATTAATACACTCTCATACAATCATGCAGATTTGTATCGCCTTCTTTGTTGTTTTATCTCTATTTTTGTTTTTTAAATACATTCACATATTAGCCCTAACTGCTAAATGCAGACTAGTAACATGCATACTTACATCATCCCAGTTCCAGAACTGTTCAGTGTGGCTGGTGCCTGATTCTCTGTAGTATTCCTCTAGGGGGGGCTCAACCAGAATCACATCAAACTTGCACTTCAAATCCTGCAGGTCAAAGTTCTCCGGTTCAGCCTGGAGGTACCTAAACACAGACAGACAAAGACGCTCTCAGTTATAAGAGCAAACCTTCCCAAATAGTTAAGGCCAACTTCAACTTGGTCTTCTTAATTCAACATATGTTCTCTGGGTGTTATCACATTGACATTAAGGTAAATATTTAAAATCACATCATCATTAAACGTACATGGGAGGAGTGTTGGTGGTTGAGATGAGTTCGTCCTTCAGTCTGATAAGCTCCCGAAGCTTTGGGTATTCTTCAAACCGGTCAGCCAGGCCTGAAGCACAAAGGAAAACGAGGTAAGACGCCCACACAAATGTACGCACATAAAGGCAAGGCAAGGCAAGGCAAGTTTATTTATATAGCACTTTTCAACACAAGGCAATTCAAAGTGCTTTACAAAAAAATGAAAGACATTAAGAAAAAGGCATTTAAAATCAGTCATTAAAAAGAAAAGCTAATAAAATAAACATTAAAAGAAAAAATACATGGATAAAAGTTACAGTGCAGTCTAAGATATGAATAGTTCAATTAAACATTAAAAGAAAAAGTACATGGATAAAAGTTACAGTGCAGTTTAAGATATGAATAGTTCAATTAAAAGCAGCGACAAAAAGAAAAGTCTTCAGCCTGGATTTAAAAGTAGTCAGAGTTGTAGCGGACCTGCAGGTTTCTGGGAGTTTGTTCCAGATATTTGGAGCATAATAACTGAACGCTGCTTTACCATGTTTAGTTCTGACTCTGGGGACAGAAAGCTGACCAGTCCCTGAAGACCTGAGAGATCTGGATGGTTCATAATTTAGCAGGAGGTCAGAAATGTATTTTGGGCCTAAACCATTCAGTGCTTTATAAACCAGCAGCAGTATTTTGAAATCTATTATTTGACACACAGGAAGCCAGTGTAAAGACTTCAGAACAGGAGTGATGTGATCCACTTTCTTAGTGTTAGTGAGGACTCGAGCAGCGGCGTTCTGAATCAGCTGCAGCTTTCCAATAGATTTTTTAGTGAGACCTGTGAAGACACCATTGCAGTAGTCGAGTCTACTGAAGATAAAAGCATGAAGAAACACACAGAAGCACACACTCACCAACATCTCTAATGAAGTTTTGGGGCCGGTGCCCTGTGTCCACAAAGTGCTGACAGTAGTCATTGTGTGGGTTCAAACTCTGAGTACCCTGAAAACAAATAGATGGAAAAAATACATTTAAGAAAAATATATCTGCATAAACAGAGACGACACAATAGGGACATACTGTACGTCACACCAACAACAACAACAACAACAACAACAACCATACAGCTGTACATAATCTGGTGTGAACAGATGAACATGGTTTAACAGCGAGTGTCATTCCATTGCACAAAAAGTTGCATAATTCCATTGTCAGGTGCATAAAAAAGTCCTGAATGATTGGATGAATGCAATGTAAATATCCTGAATGCCGTAAGTTGTAAAACTTTGTGAAAATGGCATATAAGATAAATTAAGAAAAATATATCTGCATAAAGAGAGACAACACAAATATGAATGACAGGATGTGTATTCAAGCCTTTAAATCAGGGGTGGGGAACCTCCGGCCTCCGGGCCGTATACGGTCCGCGAGACCATTTGATACGGCCCTCGAGGTAATTTATAAACACACGAAAGAAAAAAAAAGATTATAGAAATCAAGACCGCAAAATAATTAAACAAGCAAGTTTTTCCTAGCCAAGGTCAGGTTCCTTGAACACAACACAAGCCTAACGTGTATATCTCGTGATATATGTCTCATCTGACAGAGGTGTAGTTCTGACGGAGAGCACCGGAATGCCGCTCCGGCACTTCAAAAATTGCAGTACGCATAAGGAGCCGTACACATGCAGCAGTTTTTGCGTGGCTGTGTCTTTAGTGTCTTTAGTTGTAAGCCCAGTTAATCTGTCATACTGATCCAGGGCCAACCCTCCCTACAGCCGATCACGCAGACTGCGTGGGGCCTCACCTCGCGGAGGGGGAGCCTCAACTGAGCCGCAAATGCGGCGCACCTATGAGCTTATGCGGCGCAATTAGTGTGGTATCGCGGCTGCAAGGCTCCACGCTCCATGTGCTTTATAAATAAATGTGATTGATTGATAAATAAAAAGAAAATCTGTTTACAGTTCTGTTTCATATGGATGTTGAGAGATGTATCCATAGAGCTCCTAATGTTGTTCTCAAAGTGCACCAGATTGATGCTTTTAACTTCAACATTTAAAAAAAAATCTTCCCGGGGGAGCTTGCCCCCGGACCCCCCTAGAGGAGGTGAGGACCCCCACCATATCTCTGATAGATATGGACCCCCATCCATATCTTTCTGTTTTGGTGGTCATGCCACAACCGTGCACGTGAATGCATGCGCGAGTCATGGTAAATTATCTGGATTAAGAGGTTGCTTTTTCTTTGCACAGCATGAAAGAAAGGCGAAATGAATGGGCTGTGATTTTTGTTATTTTAAGCAGAGGTTGAGGTCAATAACTTGTACGGCCCTCGGAGGATGTTGTAAAAATCGAAATGGCCCTTGAGAGGAAAAAGGTTCCCCACCCCTGCTTTAAATACACATTTGATGCATCAGATTGTATAGACTTAATCAAAACTGTAAGTTCTAATTCAATGCAATACATTCTGAGAAACTCCAAGACAATATGAGGAACAAAACATTCTAAATACAGATGTCACATGATGTGTCATAACTTGTGACACCACGCAGGCTTTCTAGAGCTTATTATTACCTTTCACAGTGTGACTGATCACCAACGGCGCAAAGCATTTTCATGGTACAATAACATGCTATGCTTGTGTGTACCTTGTGACAACTGTTTTTCATCACCTCTTAAAACTGGTTGTGCATGACTAGTTTCTTCTTTGTAAAATAAAACATTGCAACTCATTTATATCAATACACAAAAAACTAACCTGTAATTACAGGTTGTGGCTAAGTGTGTGTGGTAGCTGCTACCCTACTTCTCACATGCTATTTACTTTACTAAAGCTTAGACGAATGGGAGATAAAGCATGTCCTTCCAGCTTTGGATCATACATTTAAAAAAAGAAATGTCTAAGATATCAAAAAGCGTAGTAAAATGGTTATCTGACCCTGGCTATTTTTAAAGTCTTATAAGCCGTTCATCCGAACATTTTGTCGATGTAGGTTAATGTACATTTGTGACAGACGTATGATCAATACCTAGCCATCTGAAATTCAGAGAGTTGAAATAACAGATTTTGTTGAAAGTATTCGCTGTGGTTGATGGTGAACATACAAATAAATGCTACGTTGAAAACGTTGTTGACATGTACGCCTACATTGCACATCTCATCATATTCCTTTTAAATGTGGCCATGTTTTATTTTAATGTTAATTATTATCATTATTATGGTGTTGAAAGTGAGAATTACATAAACCCATTCAAAAGGTTGTATATTTTAATATATACTGTATATATGGCTGAGTGGTTCAACGGTCATTGTTTTTTTCTTTGCGCAAAAAACAGTGTAATTGCAGTTAAACATGATAAAAGAACAGAAAACTATCTTCAATTATAAAAATACAGATTACTAGACCTACAGTATAAGAGACATTTTCTCCCAACTAAAAAATTGTAAAACACATCATATACCCGCATTAAATCGCAAAAGCGCGGCAAATTATTCAGAAGCTAATAGCATTATCAGCTGGTTGACATAAATAGCAGCTAAATCTAGTTCGCCTGTGACATTTATGGTGTTACAGTAAAGTAGTAGGTCCTGCACGCAACAGTATGTAAGGGCAGGTGCAGGTGCAATGCATAATAAAAGTAATAATTAAAAGTATGCGACTTGGAACGCAGCCAGTGTGTCTGTAAAAAGAAAGAGAGCAGGTTTTCAAACCTTGAGGAAAGTACTAGAGTCCTTGTACACTTCTTCATACGGGTTGTTTTCATCCGGCTGCTGCACCTCCGGCTCATCCTAACACACAAAAACACAATGAGGTTCATACTTTGGTCAGTGTGCGAAAAAGCACACGTCCGATCGTCCGGAACGTGTTATTTACAATATCGGACAAGTAAATCTCAAGGCAGAACTCATTCGCAAATTGTCCGTGTCCCCGCGGACCGCAGTTTTGTTTTTGTTCCTTGTGTTCGTTCTCTTTCTCTGTCCTCGCGCTGTCCTCACATCAACTCCTGAACAACAACAAAAAGCCGGCGTTTTATCCAGTTTGTACACAACGATGGAGAAACTTAACAAGCAGCAGTGGTCCACTGAAGAGACCAGCTACCTGCTGGGAATCTGGTCTTCTGAAGAGGAAGCTGGAGCACAATCGGCCATTGTTGTTGTTGTCGGCGTCAGCTGTGAGGGGTTTCCGCACGGTTTGGCTTTATGAAGCAGGCACGCAAACGGTTACGTCATGACGCAAACGATGACGCAATGACGCAGCACCAGTCGGATTCTGGGCAGTGTGAAAAGAGCCGGAGCTAAACCGAAGAACCGGTTCTGAACCTGAAAAGCTCTAGCACGGAGCTTGAACCGGAGTTGCGTTGGTGTGAATGACGTATGAGCAGTGTTGGGCAAGTTACTTTAAAAAAGTAACTTTTAAAAAGTAACTAGTAATAGTTATAGTTACTGCTCTCGAAAAAGTTACTTTATTAGTTACTAAATTATAGAAGTAACTAGTAACAAGTTACTTTACTTAAAAAATAATAACAATAAAAATACAAGTTTTTGTGTTGTTCTGTGGCACCGTAAGAGAAAAGACAACTCCCCATCATTGTAGCAATTATCATTATGAAATAGTGGAACAATAAAACACAAAAGTGCGATTTTAAAAGATCGTTTTTTGGCTGTATAGATGGTGTTGCTCCATCTGGGTCACTGCCGGTGGTTGAGACGGTGGGGTCTTTGGCGACTAGTTTTATAGCCCCATGCACATTACTTAGGTGCTTCAGGAGATTGGCATTGCTGTTATTCGATGTGGACAATGCTTTCTGTCCTGCACACAGTTTACATTTTACCGTAACATTTGTTGCGTCCTTTATCCCCACAAATTGAAAATAGTGGTTATATTTCCAAGTTGCAAATGCGCTGCTGCTCTCGCTGATACTTGCATCTGCCATTGTGTGTGTGTGTGTGTGTGCTAGTGGTGAGCGTTGCTGTGTGTGTGTGTGTGTGTGTGTGTGTTAGCATTAGCAAGTGTTTGTGTGTGTGTGTATTTCCCCATAAGGCAAGACCCGCCCAACTCTGTCTCTGATTGGCTTACCCTGAAATGTTACCCCGCGTTAACCAATCATCACTCCTCTCTGGTTACTTTCTCTTTTCCATGGTACTGTGAGAGGACATCGCTGTATTCGCCTGTAAGCTACATCCGCAGGGAGATTCGGTTCAGTTCCATCACATAATGTAACGCAGTAACGCACCCATTTAAATCACAGTAACTATAACGGCGTTACTTAATGGGAATAGGTAACTAGTAACGCTATTAGTTACCGCAAAAAGTAGTTGCGTTACAGTAACACGTTACTTTGTAACTTTGTAACGCGTTAGTCCCAACACTGGGTATGAGTAAGCGGGGACATTTTCAAACTCTTAGGCCCAATTCCAAATCACACCCTACCCACTCCCACTCCGTGACGGAGTGAACTCTGTGGTGGAGTGACACTTGCAGCTAAACGAGGCTCCCTCCTGTCATGTTGAGGGTGTAAATACAGCGGCAAGCTTTGGAACAAACTCTCCTCTCTCCGGCAGAAACAGGAAATGCCGTAACTGTATCTAACAACGGTTTCAAAAAAGCATCTCTTGGACACATTTTTTAATGAATAACTCAAATAAAACTCCAAACATCTTTAATCGTGTTACTTTTTTGTAAAGCTCTTTTAGTTTTAAACCTGATGTTTATAAACTTCTTAGTTTTTGCAACAGTCTGTAAATATACACAACTTTATAATAAAATGCATAGGTATGACTAAACACAGGTATGATCCTAAGTTAAAAAAATATGAGGTTATCATGAGGTTGTTAACATCGCAATTTATCAGTGAATGTTTGCAGGAACTACTTGTTAACAGCTTGTTTCCTGACAGACACACACAGCATTGAGTCCGGTCAGGTAGGGCAGCACGTGAAGTCTGCACCGATGCAGACTTGCTGTTTGAGGGCTTGGTAACCCACTCCCCCTCCACACTCGTTGGTTTGGAACAGCACTTAATGTGGCGGACCCTCCGCGCGAACGTGCAAATGGAGGGGTAGTGTGTAGGGGGATTGGAATTGGGCCTTAATCTGCCCTCATGTCATCTTCACCCAAAAGGTATCAATGCTGTGTACCATTGTGCTTTACGTTTTATTACTGGATGTGGATATTGGGTACACCATTGCACTTTATATGCTGCTGCTAATTGGCCATCTTTGTCTGCTCGCAGACTTTTCCCACTGGTTGGGTTTTATTTATAAATCTCTGCTTGGGCTTGTTCCTTCTTACATTTGCACATTTATGTGTAAAAGAGAAAGTCTATATGGCCTGGGCTCCCAAGATTTTATTCAGATGCTGGTTCCTAAAGTAAGAACAGAACTGGGTAAAACAGCTTTTAAATATGCTGCCCCCACTGCTTAGAATAATGTACAGGAAGAGCTTAAACTCCCAGAATTGATCACTATGGGGGAATTCAAGTCCATCTTAAAGGACAGAGAACAAGACACCATTGGTAGATGTGATTGCTCGTATATCCTAAAATTGAAGTCGTTTTAAAGTTTACCAGTTTTTAATGATTTTTAATAGTTTCTTTTATGTTGCATATTTGACTGGCTAATGTGCCATTTTATTTGTGTTTTACTGCTGTCTTTGTCTGTCTGTATTGTCTGTGTTTTATCTGTTGTAACTTTGTTCATGCTGCCCTTCTTGGCCAGGTCACTCTTGTAAAAGAGATCTCAATTAGTTATTTTACCTGGTTAAATAAAGGATATATAGCATTAGTTTATATATATATAATATATATAAACTAATGCTGTCAAAATTATCGCGTTAACGGCGGTAATTAATTTTTTGAATTAATTGAATTAAAATATTTAACGCATTTAACGCATGTGCAGAATGGCCCGCCCCATACATCCCACCAGTGGCAGCGCCAGGGTATGGCTAGGGTAGGCTACACCCATACCAAGAAATGGCTTAGCCCCACCATAACAAATTATGTTAAAGTAAGCAAAATAAAGTCCGCCAACTTGCGCCGAGTATTGCACAGACAGCAGTTTGTTTGTTTGTAGCCTTTATTTAACCAGGTGAAGCCCCTTGAGATCAAAAGATCTCTTTTTCAAGGGTGACCTGCAGGACATTAGTTACACATGTAACATAAAAACAACAGAACAACAATAAGGATGACATACAACATAATGTACAGGGTACAGTTTACAAACTCTATTTACAGTGACAGGTACCATGAGTATCAAACAGCATGTCACCCAGCCGAGTTTTAAAATGATGCAGGGGAAGCAAAGTGCTCAGTTTTAAACATGTTTGCAGACTGTTCCAATTTAGTGGAGCTGCACAACTAAAAGCTTTCTTCCCTAAGACAATCCTAGCACTTGGCACATTTAATAAAACAACATCATGAGATCTCAGGCAATATGTACTTTCAATTCGTCGAGAGATCAGAGAGCAGATATAAAATGGGAGTTTACCCAACATGGCTTTGTAAATGAACATGTACCAATGACTGAGCCTCCGTACAGTTAGTGAAGGCAGACCTGCCTTGGCATACAGGGTACAGTGATGAGTAAGTGCTTTATAGTTAGTAACAAATCTCAGGGCACTGTGATAGGCGGCATCTAACTTTTCCAGGCAATGGGCAGGTGCATTCATATAGATCAAATCACCATAGTCCAGCACAGGTAAAAAGGTCACAGTGACTAGCCTTTTCCTGGCTTCAAAAGAGAAACAGGACTTGTTTCTGAAAAAGAAACCTAGTCTAACCCTCAGCTTTTTAAGCAGGTTATTGACATGAAGTTTAAAAGTAAGACAATCATCAAGCCAGATACCTAGGTATTTATAAATGGTAACCACTTCAAGTACTTGTCCTTGCATAGTAACAATATCCAAAACAGGCTCTGGTGTCTTTTTAGCTTTTGAAAATAGCATTAACTTGGTTTTATCAACATTTAAAATAAGCTTAAGTTCAGCAAGCTGAGTCTGAATAATGTTAAAAACAGCCTGTAATTTAACACCAGCCTCCTTAATGGAGGGACCTGCACAATACATCACGGTATCATCAGCATAAAAATGTAAAGCAGCTTCATCCACATTTTCACCTAAACTGTTGATATATATGGAGAATAAAAGTGGACCTAAAACAGAACCTTGAGGAACACCATTAGCAATGTTTAACCACTCAGAAGACAGCCCATCAAAGTGAACACATTGGGACCTTTCAGAGAGGTAGTTCACAAACCAACCCACTGCATGGCTGGATATGCCGATACTGAGTAGCCTCTGCTTTAAGATGCGATGATCGACGGTATCAAAACGCTTTGGAAAGGTCAATAAATAGAGCTGCACAACTCTGCTTATTGTCTAAAATACTCGTAATGTCATTCACCACTTTCATTGTGGCAGTGATGGTGCTATGTTGTTTTCTGAAGCCTGACTGATATTTAGACAGGATATCATTTTTACATAAAAACTCCTTTACCTGTTCACTCACTAGGCGTTCGAGCACCTTCGCCAGAACTGACAATTTAGAGATTGGCCTATAGTTATTTAAAATAGTTGCCTCCCCTCCTTTTAGTAAAGGCAAGACATAAGCTGACTTCCATACTTTTGGAATTGCATTTGTGCTGAGGGAGAGGTTAAAAAGAGTAGTAAGAGGAAGAGCAATAAAATCTGCAGCTATCTTTAAAAAGAAAGGTTCTACGTTGTCCGGGCCAGCCGGTTTCTTAGGATCTAGCTTAGATAAGGCTTCATGAACAACATTGACAGTAAAAGG